AACCCACGAACCGCGAGATCATGACCTAAGCGAAAGTCGGATGCTTAACCGACTAAGCCACCCAGGCGCCCCTGGTCCAATTTCTTTTTACCCTACCATCTGTTTCTCCAAGGGGACTGATTTCATAAGTATAATCAAGCAAGCTGCTGAAAATAGGCTTTTTTGAAACTAAAAATAAGATTTGTCTGCTAACAGTGGGACTGAGGAGCCTAGGAAATGACTAAGCATTTATCCTTCTTATATGTAAAGACTGTCCTCTTTAGGGAAGGATGCATGAGTTTATACATACAGGTACAGTTTTTAAAGGGAAAGAGGCAATTCCCGAGATTTCCTAGGGAAATGTGATGGTACAACATCCCTGTTAAGAAGGTTAGTGGGGAGGGGGGGTGCCTGGGTGGCTCAGTTGCTTGAGTGTCTGACTTCAGCTCTGGTCATGATCTCGTTGTTCCTGAGTTCGAGCCCCGCATTGGGCTCTGTGCTGACAGCTCAGGCCTGGAGCCTGTTTCGGATTCTGTGTCTCCCCCTCTCTCTCTGTGCTCTTCCCTCACTCATGCTCTGTCTCTCTCTCTCTCTCTCTCTCTCTCTCTCAAAACTAAATAAAACATTAAAAAAAAAGAAGAAGGATAGTGGGCAGTGGCCTTCTGCATTTTTATGAACAAAAGTGTCATTCATTAGCCCTGATTGGGATCCGCTGATTTGGGTAAACCCAGATCCATGATATTGGCATGAAACTGTCTGTCTGTGGTGTGCACTGCACTATGCTAGAGCCGGAGCACTTGAGTCTTGATTACCCACCTTCACACTAATTTCAGGTGTGACAGGCCACTAGTTAGGGCTTGCCTAGTGCCATTTTCCTTTTGTTGCTAGCCCTGAGGGATGGGCAATCCTGCATGCTTGTAAAAAATTTTTTTAGGCTTAAAAATTCTAAAAGAGTATTAATAATTTAATAATATTAATATTTTAATAATATTAATTTAATAATATTTTACAGTGAGGAAATTGTTAGAATAGATAGACCAAAATAAATATATCTTGCAAGTAGTTCTGAACATTGAAATAGAGACTGAAAACTCAAATGTTTGTGGGGACTAGGCGGGTAATTTAAATGCATGAGTGTAAGGTGACTGGCACTTGTGGCAAAATGGAACATATAAACCCTGACTTAAGACATTAAACAACATCCAAACAAGAAACAAAAAAACACCTACTTCAAAACAAAACCAAACCAAAACACCTGTTTCTGGGCCAGTTAAAATCTGTGTGGGGCAAAGTCCAGACTGGAGGCCACCAAATTTAGCGCAGCCTCTTGACTGGAACCTAATATAGCAATATACAATAAGGAGTTTAACATTTGTTGAGGCAACACAAGAACATAAAGTGTTCTTAGCTCTTGGGTTTCAAGAAACAAAACTGGAAACCATTCAAATGCCTAATAATTAAGGAATGATTAATCACATTGTGGTATAACCGGATAGCCATTTAAAGCACAGAGATGCTCCCCAGTGCCGGGGCATAGAAATGTCCACATGTGAAAACTAAGTTACACTAAACTACAAATGTATATGTTACCACATGCATTAGCAAAGATTCCAAAAGAATTTGGAGCAACGAGGGGCGCCTGGGTGGCTCAGTTGTTTGAGTGTCTGACTTTGGTTCAGATCATGATCTCGCGGTCCGTGGGTTCTAGCCCCATGTCGGGCTCTGTGCTGACAGCTCAGAGCCTGGAGCCTGCTTCAGATTCTGTGTCTCCCTCTGTCTCTGACCCTCCTCTGCTTATGCTGTCTCTCTCTCAGAAATAAAGAAAACATAAAAAAAAAAAAAAAAAGAATTTGGAGCAACGTAAATAATTGGATGCTCCTGAGGTTTTTTTTTTCCCCTGAAAAGAAGCTTAAATTCACCATGAAAAAAAAAAAGAAAGTGCAAATCACTTCTACCAAGGCGATCAGTAAAATACCTAGTCATCTTCTGGATTAGATCCAGCTAAGCACAAGCACGATTATCTCATAGGTGATGGCTTTGTCCTAGAAGTTTTCGCTTTTGCCAGAAAGAGATAATTTCCTACTCTGGTTATACACTGATATTTTGTTCTCACCTCAGAATTCTGTTTTTACTTGTTTCTTGTTTAACTTTCCTATTTCCTGTTTAACCTCTTTCCTGTTTCCCTTCTTCCCTACTTTATAAGTGTGGGTCCAAGGGAAGAGTCCGGGCCCACATGAATGGTCTCCTACTCCTGTAGCCCCTACGGTCCTTTCTCCCTTCAGTCAATAGCAAGTCCTCTGAGCGTGCAAATCTGGTCACTTGTTCGCTTACAGGCTTTCTATGACTTCCAGTTGCCTGTAGGGCACACACCCAAACCTTCCCAGGTCCCATCTCTGAATCTCACTGGCCTCCCTTCCATTACTCGGGCCACCTTGCCCTTTCATTCTGCACCTGTGCGCTCCCCCCTCACTACACGTGTCCTCTTTGGCTGTCAGATTCTGTCCTCTCTCTTTTTCTCTTCTTCTTTTTTTCAAATGTTTATTTATTTTTGAGAGAGAGAAGGGAAGGGTAGAGGGGGGGCAGGGGCAGAAAGAGAGAGAGAGGGACAGAAGATCCGAAGCCGGCTCAGCTCGGAGCTGACAGCTGAGAACTCTGACAGCAGAGAGCCAGATGGGGTGGGGGTTGAGGGGGGTGGGGGTGAGGGGCCTGAGCTCAGGAACCACAAGATTCCCTTTCTCTTTCTTCTCGTTTGAGGCAAATCATCCCTCCTCGGTGAGGCCGTTTCCCTTACTCTGCACACTCCTAACATTTCTCACTTCTCCTTAACACATACTACTGTTTACGCTTTACGTTTCTTTGTGTGACTCTTTGATTAAGGCCTGTCTTCTACACAAGCCAGTAAGCCCCATGAGGGTGGGCTCCATCTTTTTTGCTGGAAGAGGGGTTGACCATTACCAGCATGTAACACATATTCTAGGTGCTTATGAAATCTTTATTTCTTCTTGCTTCCTCCTTCTAGAATTTTAGGGCACCACCTCATGTAAGTCATGTCTTCACTTAACGACTTTCTCGCTGGCCAGCCTAACTATATTTAAAGGTTCTACCTTTATATGAGTTCTTCCAGCTTTTAGGAAAGCACCTGAGCTTCATCTTCTAGTGGCTTTATATGCCTCCTTCATTTCTTTCAGTGGGGAAAATCCAGGCCCTGCTGTAAGGCTGTCCTTTTCTCTGAGGAGTCTTTGTGGCTCTGCTCATCTCAGCAGGTTCTCCTTGCTGACCTCTCCAAATGAGCCTGAGAGGTTCTCTCCTACTACAACTCCTGGTTAAAGGCATGTGTTAACAGCAGTAATGAAAGAGGGACTTTTCAATGATGATGCCAGTAATTAACAGTCCTGAATGAAACTCTTCAGTGCCTCTTCAACAGGAACTAAATTCACTTGTCTTACTGCAATTTACCATCTGTTCTTCTATAATGAAGGAATTGCACTCATAAGAAATTTTACATTATCAGAAGTCATGATATGAAAACAATTGCTTGAGTAGAAAAAAAGGATTAGGGATTGGACAGTGTCAGAGTCAGAATTATGTTATTTTTCCTATAGAATCTTTTTCTTATAAAACTTTTTTAATAGCTATGAATATATTTGTAAAACCCATCACTGCAAAAAAAAATTAGTTGTTTGACTATATATACACCATTTGCTCTTAAATGATAGTCTTTGTTTTCTGTCATTGCCTACACTCTCATTAGCAAGGAACCTTTCATATCATCCTGTTTCCTTGATCACCCATTGTTATAATAAAGGAGACACTAAGACTCCCCCCAAATCAGCTGTTATAGACAACACTTCGCTCATGCTGAGGGGCTAGTTCCAGATCTAGTATAACAATGGTATATATATATATATATATATATATAGTTGATCATATCCCTTAATTTATCCCATCTGCTTTTTAAAAAAATAGTTTATTGTCAAGTTGGTTTCCATATAACACCTCGTGCTCATCCCCGCAAGTGCCCTCCTCCATGCCCATTACCCCCCTTCCCTTCCCCCCCACCCCCATCGGCCCTCAGTTTGTTCTCAGCATTCAAGAGTCTCTCAGGGTTTGCCTCCCTCCCTCTCCCCAACTATTTTTCCTGTTCTTCTCCCCCATGGTCCTCCATTAAGTTCCTCCTAATCCTCCTATACGTGCAAACGTATGGTATCTGTCCTTCTCTACCTGACTTATTTCGCTCAGCATAACACCCTCAAGGTCCATCCATGTTGCTACACATGGCCAGATTTCATTCTTTCTCATTGCCATGTAGTGTTCCATTGTATAGATGAACCACATCTTCTTGATCCATTCGTCCGTTGATGGCCACTTAGTCTCTTTCCATGTTTTAGCTATTGTGGAGAGTGCTGCTATGAACATTGGGGTACATGTGCCCCCATGCATCAGCACTCCTGTACCCCTTGCGTAAATTCCTAGCAGTGCTATTGCTGGGTCATAGGGGAGTTCTACTGTTAATTTTTTGAGGAACCTCCACACTGTTTTCCAGAGAGGCTGTACCAGTTTACATTCCCACCAACAGTGTAGGAGGGTGCCCATTTCTCCACATCTTTGCCAGCATCTAGAGTCCTCTGATTTACTCATTTTAGCCACCCTGACCAGCGTGAGGTGATATCTCAGTGTGGTTTTGATTTGTATTTCCCTGATAACTTTTAAAAACACCCTCAAAGGGGAGCCTGGGTGGCTCAGTGGGTTGAGGTCAGACATTGGCTCAAGTCTTGATCTTGCATTCATGGATTCAAGCCCCACATCCAGCTTTGTGCTGACAGCTCAGAGCCAGGAGCCTGCTTCAGATTCTGTGTCTCCCTCTCTCTCTGCTCCTCCCCTGCTCATGCTCTCTCTCTCTCTGTCAAAAATTAAAACATTTAAAAAATTTTACAAAACACCATCAAGCCTGCAATTTTCTCAGATCTAGACACTTATATCGAACAATAACACCTGTGCTTCAATGCTTTTTCCTGAATCAGGTGATGCAGGCGCAGTGTGTCAAAATAGAGACTGAATTCTACCGCCGCAGTCGCAGTGAGGTAGTGGATGGAAAGGGGCACACCATGGGCGCACTTTATTGGCAGCTGAATGACATCTGGCAGGCTCCCTCCTGGGCTTCCCTAGGTAAGTGTTTCAACATTCTTCGTGCATGTGAGAGAAAGCAGTATCTGTGAGGAGAGGCACCGAGAAAGCATGGAGCCTGAGGGGTCAGATTAACCAAAGGAGAACCCCTTCGTGGAGGAGGGGAGGTTCCCCGGAAGCCTATGAACTGTGGCCACCCCGCCCCCCTTCCTAGTCTTTCCGGAAGCCTCAGAGGCACCCTGGTTTGAGTTCTGTGCTGTGCAAAGTCACAAAAGTGGGCTAATCAAGGGGATGGATTCATGCAGGAAGATCTCAGCCATGTGTCTCATGGCTGCTTAAAAATTTGGATTTAATTAGAAGGACTTTCCAAGTGGAAGAAGCATTTACTTAAGCATCTTTTCTTCTAAATTCTTTAGAAGAGTTCAGCCAAGTGGAAGGCTGGCCCAGCTAATTGCTAGAATATCCTTTTCCTAGATTCCCCATGAAGTGCCTCTTAAGACCTTTAGGGGTCTTATTTTTGCCTTATTTATCTCTGAGAGAAAGATAGTAGAATCAGAAATCCAAGTAGGAAGGGTTATCAGCTGAACAAGTTTAGTTGGCAACACATATGACTGGCATGGTGCCTGCAGTTGAATTATTCTGTTTTGATATGTTCTGAAAAAATTAGGGAGTAGGGAGCGCCTGGATGGTTCAGTAGGCTAAGTGTCTGACTTCGGCTCAGGTCATGATCTCGCGGTCCGTGGGTTCAAGCCCCACACTGGGTTCTGTGCTGGCAGCTCAGAGCCTGGAGCCTGTTTCAGATTCCGTGTCTCCCTCTCTCTCTGCCCCTCCTCTGCTTGTGCTCTGTCTCTCTCTGTCTCAAAAATAAATACCCCCCCCCAATTTTTTAAATAAACATTTAAAAAATATGGAGTAATAATGAATCTTTGGAGTTCACTAGAGGTGGCTTGAGGCAAAGTTCAGTCAGTAATATGAACAAGAGTTTGGGGTCAAAAATGAGGCAAGGCTATAAAGTAAAAAATCCACTTTGCCAGGTGAGGCTCTTAAATTAGCTGTGGAAGCAAATCCAGACGAGTCCATTGCCCACATGCTTTGGTTAGTGCTGAATCACCTCTTCCAGGAAATTGGAGTTTTGATCTAGTTTCTCTGACCAAACTCTTCATCAGCAGCAACCGGATAAAAGAGTATTGAATGAGAATCAGGGGTGGATGCGGGGGGAATAGCTTTCTGGGACGCTTACAGCTGGACAAAGAGATATTGTTCAGGGACACTTAGACCCTGACCCTGCCTTCTGTATGCAGTCAGGCTTGTGGACTCCTGGAGCAGAAATTGGTTCAAGAACTGGAAAGTCCAGACTTTGTAACTCTTCCCTGAAGTGACTGCATGCAGATTGTTTGAATGAGTTCTTTAGAAAGGGTGAGTAAACCCAAGGTCAGGGGCATCATGGCAGAACAAGAATTTGTTTCCTAACCTCTCCCAGACAGTGCCTCTCCGTGGAGAGGCTCACCATCTTCTACCTGTTACAGAAACAAGAGCCTGGGAGAAGGTGTGACAGGTCATGCTGTGTCTGTTCTTGCCCTGCGCAGCCTCACAGCCTCTGTTTAATCCTGTTTCATTGGCTCAATAAATCTGGTGTGCAGGTGGGGGTAGGGAAAGGTATGTGTCACCTTTTATCACCTGAAGTGATGATACCTCAAAGGGATCTTAGCTGCTTGGAATCTAAAGGTTCTTATATGTTTCCTTTTAAAAAATAAGCCTCAGTTTTAGCTATAATTTTGCAAATACAGAAACACACCTGGACATTTTATTTTGCTTGGCTCATAAACTTGGACAGTCACGGAGCTAATGGAAAAGCCAGAGATCCACATAGCCCTTTTAGCTGATTATTATATTGGTATCCATATTTTGTCGCTGATCAGTAACTAGTGTGTGTCCTAATGAGAACTTTTGTTTCAATTGCTGTTCTGTATTCTGCATGTGACCATGAAGTTAGAACTGTGCACCTGAGGTCTCCCCTGTAAGGATATCACATGTGAGGTGTGTAAGTTACCTCAGGTCTGAGCCATCTTCCATTTATGAGAAAGCTTTCCAAGTATAGTTGACCCTTGAGCAACATAGGGTTTAGCTGTGTGGGTCCACTATTAGGATTTTTTTGGTATATACAGTAGAGTACTGTAAATGTATTTTGTCTTCCTTATGACTTTCTTAATACTGTCTTTTCTCTAGCTTGCTTTATTGTAAGAACACAGAATATAATATATACAATACACAAAATATGTGTTAATTCCATTTATGTTTTTGGTAAGGCTTCTGGTCAACAGTAGGCTATTAGTAGTTAAGTTTTGGGGGGATCCATGTCAAAAGTTACATGGATTTCTGACTGCACAGGGTTTGGTGCCCCTCACCCCCATATTATTCAAGGTCAATTGTATAAGTTCTAGTTCATTTTATAGATCTCATACGAAAGGCCTCTCGACCCCTCCCTGCTGGTTGCTTTTAAGAGGAACTATTATGAGTTGTGATTGAAGTGCTGAGAGTTGAAATTTGCAAAATTGGAAGAAATTCCTTCTATTTGAACTTAAAACCACATTCCTCCATCTCAACAGCTTGCACTGTGAATTCTGGACATGATACCTCCCCTTACATCCTGACCCCTCCTCTGTCCCCTTTTCCCTTCCAGCCATCTCTTTGGAAGTTGTTCAGAGATGCAGTGCTTTGTGGGGAAAGATCTTTTTTTCTGAAATAGAGGCATTTTGACATATATTTTAGCTTGTGGATTAAGCATACCAGACATGCCAACAGGGCACAGAATTCATAGATTCTCGAAAGTGTCTAATTGTATCTGAGCAACTGCCTTGAATTGTCATCTGTTGGCGTGTTCTGCAGTCTACATTTGCCAGAAGTGTTTGTGGTAATGGTGGTTTTATTTCACTCAGAGAATTTTGTGTTTATAGGAAAAGAACACTTTGAGATTTAAGTAACCTTTTCTGTTACCTTTTTAATTGTTTTTTTTCAGTGTTTTGTTTATGTTTTTTTCAGGTGTACCATATAGTGATTCAACATTTCTGTACATTACAAAATGCCCACCATGATTAAGTATAATTATGATCTGTCACCATAAAAAGCTATTACAATATTATTGACTACATTTTCGATAACTCTTATAAATGAATATTTATATTTGATACAATTGTAGCAGTTTCTTACAATTACTAATAAGTGTAACATTTCTGCTGCCATGCCACTGATTTCCTTCTTCATGAGTACGTAGTAAAAAGGACCTTTGGTACATTGAGCGCCTGGGAGCAGAATTATTTATGAGAAAATGCTACCTAGGTGTCAGGTCTGGACTCAAAGTACTGCCTGTGGCATGTTTGATTTAACAGCTTGAGCCTCCGTTTCCTCATTTGTAAGGGTGGATGTTAAAGACGTAAGAATGCCAGGAGGTAATGTCCAGAATGTTTCGAGCCCTCAACAAATGTGGGTCCCTGCCCCTGTAGACTCTTCCCCCGCCGCCCAGTGCCTGGAATCCTGACAAGTCAGACGCAGCTAGATCACGGGCAGGAGAACCCTGACTGCTTTGCCCTGCTTATCTCTTAACTTTACTATTTCTAGAATATGGAGGAAAGTGGAAAATGCTTCATTACTTTGCTCGACATTTCTTTGCTCCACTGCTGCCAGTGGGATTTGAGGATCAAGATGTGCTTTTCATCTATGGTGTTTCAGATCTTCACTCTGACTGTAAGGCAACACTCACTGTAAGTTTGCTTGGAGGTTTTGTTTTGTTTTGTTTTTTTTTTTGTTCTCTTTAAGACAGAGGGAGAGGTTTTGATTATTTCTTGAGTATTTGGTTATAATTCTTTAGGGAAGAAGAAAAGAGAAAACAGTGCTAGGCAAAAGGAGAGGGTAGAATCTCAAAGAAGTTTTGGAGCACTGGGTGACTCAGCTGGTTCAGCGACTGACTTCGGCTCCGGTCATGATCTCATAGTTTGTAGGTTTGAACCCCACGTTGGGCTCTGTGCTGACAGCTCAGAGCCTGGAGCCTGCTTTGGATTCTGTGTCTTCCTCTCTGGTCCTCCCCCACTCATGCTCTGTCTCTGTCTCTCAAAAATAAAAAAAAATGTTAAAAAGTTAAAAGAAAAAAAAAAAAAGAACCTCAAAGAAGTCCTGGGAGGCTGCAGTTTGGAGGACGCCGCAAATAGGTGCCAGTTGTAGAATAATGACAGTGCACCAGGTCGTGTGTCTTCCATGGATTACTTTGTTTAATTCTCACAACTGCCTGTGAAGCCAGTGCTGTTATTATTCTCATTTTACGTGTGGGGAAACGGAGCCTTTGAGAAGTCGAGTCACTTGCTCAGCTACGTGGTTATACATGGTAGAGCTGATGGAGCCCTGTTCAATCCAGGGTTCATGGGCTCTTAACCAGTTCTGCTGTTCTGACTTTCATCTCTTATTACTGGTATTCTCTGAAAAAAAAAAAAAAAAAAAGAAGGTAACCAAGAATGTTTGGTTTTGCTCTGCCTTGTTTCTTCCCAGGTGAGAGTCCACACCTGGAGTTCCCTGAAGCCCTTGTGCTCCTTCGAGACCGAACATTTTGTCATGGAAGCCGGGAAGGCCATTCTCGTGTACGAGGAGCTGGTGCCTGCGTTGTTGGGGCGCTGTGGGAACTGTACCCGGCAAAGCTGTGTGGTTTCCTTTTACATTTCAACGGACAGCCGGCTCCTGAGCCCAACCAACTATCACTTCCTGTCTTCTCTGAATGAGACCGTGGGGCTCCAGAAGGCACACATCACCGTAAGTACCAGGGGCCTGGGGTCACGGCGGCCTTGCAGACCTGCCCTGCTTTGGGGGCAAGCACCCTGCATCCTGCATTTTGCAAAATTCTTCCTTGGTGCTGACTTTACCTAGGACCTGGGGAAGGTTAGCCTCTTTCCACTAGAAGCAAAGACCAAATGACTTTTCTTCTACCTCAGTGTTTGTCAAAGTTTAGGGCTCCTGCCATCCTGTTATCCCGTGAGCCCTCTGTAGTGGGGCCGGAGCAGAGTGGGAGGCGGCGGTGGGAGTCATTACAGCTGATGGCTCTCTCACTGATTGCATTCCAGGCTCTGTCCCCAGGCTCTACTGCTTTGTCCCCAAAGTATGAGGTGCTGCATTGACACTCTAGCAAACCTGTGTAGAGGGGAGGAGTAACGTGCTACAGCCGGAAAACCCCAGCAGGAGCATGCTGATTTTGAGTCTTTAAGTAGAGTCTGTGATTTGTTTTTAATGTTTAGTTTTGAGAGACAGAGACAGAGCATGAGCGGGAGAGGGGCAGAGAGAGCGGGAGACGCAGACTCCAAAGCAGGCTCCAAAGCTGCCAGCATGGTGCCCGACGCGGGGCTCGAACCCACGAGCTGTGAGTTCATGACCTGAGCCAAAGTTTGATGCTTAACCGACTGAGCCACCCAGGGCCCCAAGTCTATGAAGTTTTTAAAATTTCCCTCAGGGGTACCTGGGTAGCTCATTTGGTTCAGCGTGGGACTCTTGCTTTCAGATCAGGTCATTAACTCATGGTTCGTGGGATCAAGTCCAAGGCTGGGCTCCACACTGAGCGTGGAGCCTGTTTAAGATTCTTTCTCCCCCTCTCCCCCTCCCCCCTCTCGAAATAAGAAAAAGAAATTCCCTCTACTCTCTTTGATTTACTGCTTCAAAGTAACTTAATCATCAAATTTATAATTGCCAAGAAAAAAAGAAAAGGGATGACCAGGACGTGTTGTTATAAAAATTGTGAGCTGGAGAACGTGGAATGTGTGTACTTGATTTAAAACCTTTCCTACCCTCTCCCCTACACAGAGTGATTAAATGTATTCTAGAAAGTTTTATTCTCTAGTTTTCGTGAATTTTAAACTTGTTTTACACCTTTACTTCATTGAGAATGCTTAAGTGAGAGGGGTTTTTTTTGCATTTACTTAGCTTTTTAAAAAATTTTTTTTAGTGTTTTATTTATTTCTGAGAGAGAAAGAGAGAGAGAGAGAGAGAGAGAGAGAGCACGAGAGAGCATGAACAGAGGAGGTACAGAGAAATAGAGGGAGATACAGAATCTGAAACAGGCTCCAGGCTCTGAGCTGGCTGTCAGCACAGAGCCTGATGTGGGGCTCGAACCCATGAACCATGAGATTATGACCTGAACTGAAGTCGGATGCTTAACCGACTGAGCCACCCAGGTGCCCCTAGACCTTTTTTAAGAGAGAGAAATTGCATGAGCATGGTAAGGGGAGAGAGAGCAAGACACAGAAAGAGAGAGAGGGAGGGAGAGGGAGTCTTAGCAGGCTCCACACTCAGTGCAGAACCCAACGTGGGGCTTGATCTCATGACCGTGAGATCATGACCTTAGCTGAAATGAAGAGTCAGATGTTTAACTGACTGAGCCACCCAGGCATCACTCATTTATTTAGAAATAATCATATAAAAACTCAGTCTTTGAACTGAAAACATATCTTTCTTAATAGTGAAATATTCACATAACAAAATGCAAATTATCTGTAACTACTGATGCGGAACAGCTATGGAGGGGATTATATATATTTACGTAGCTTCTTTCCAGAAAAAAAATGAACGAAACCAAAAACTATGTAGCAGATAAATTTGCAGTCTCTAGACTTAGGATTTTGAAATCTTTTTCTCTTTGCTAAGCCAGGCCTTCATGAGCCTGGGACAAGTGGGTATGGGGGAGAAGCTGTTCCTTTGTCCTACCTCATTTGGATTTCAATGAGACTTCCCTTCCTAAAGGGATATAGTAATAGTAACTATAGCTAACATTTACTGCAGGCTTAATACAGGCCAGGCTCTTGGGTGTGCTATCACCTGTAGGATGCCGGGAAATTGTTTTCCATGTCTCCCTGAAGCCAGGGTACAAGCTCGAACCTGGACTCTGCAGTCAGATAGAGATGAGACTGCTGATCGGAAGAAGGCAATACCAGGGAGCAGGGCACAGTGCAGCTTCTGGCTTTGGCTTTGGCACATGAGCAGCCGGGGCCTCGTGGCAGCCATGTGGGCCGGCTGGGGCCAGCTGTGTGAACTGCATGCCTGGGACAGCTTTAGGGTCTTCACCGAACAGCAGGGTGGCATGATTTGGGAACGTAACATCTCGCTTCTGTCCTGAATCTCTGACCCTCCGAGAGAAACCTAATCCATTTTCTTAAGTGTCTTTTCTGTTTCCTCCAAAGTAGGTTTTTTGTTTATAACTCAGAACCCTGCATGATGTGTAAGGCCAAAATGACATACAGTAAAAATGGCGCCCTGAAATTCTGTATGCGACACATAACGTGTAACATCATCCCTACCGTGTGGCGTGTCTGCATGTTGTGAGGGGTCATGTTTCATGTCAGATGCACAGCTTTAAATGCCAGATCAAACTCAGCCGCAGGCTCACCCTGAGAACTTCACAAACCCCTACCCTCCGGGGCGCAGCCCAGCCTCGCCTCACCTTAGCATGTACTAATTGGCTAGTTAATGACAGGACTGAAATTGCACTTTCCTTTGCTGATATCGTGTGGGATTCGCACATGTTAAAAGTGCTAATGATGTGATTTTATGGTGCCAGGCAATAAAAGAGAGAAAGCTCCAACGGTAGAACTTTTGTAAGTGCCTGGCAGGCGGCTGTCTAGATTGCGGGATCTTTTCAGAAGACCAGCTTCATGGTTGTGCCCTGTAGCCAGCGCCACATATATCCTGAGAAGGTTGTTCCAACTTCCTAGCCCTTATGCAAAACTGTTCCTCCCTTGATCCCCTGAGAAAAACTGTGAGAGACACAAAGCTTTGAGCTTCTTGTGAAATATTCTTAATAATCGGACACTACATATATCTACACTTGGTTTGAGATTATAATTTGGTAATTTCCCACAGCCTTAAATAAATTTCCATGGTTTTTTGTTTTTTGTGTTTTTTTAGTGTCTGACACAGTGCATGAAATATAAGACTTTGGCAACTGCAGGACCCAAGTTGTAGCGAACGTGCTCCTTGATGGGCCACAGAAATGTTCTGATAGGTATTGTGTATAGAACAGATAGGTGTCCCCTCATCGTTCACTTAATTTATCTTTTTCTCTCAGGCTATCATCTCTCAGCAAGGTGAAACCTTTGTGTTTGATCTGGAAACCTCGGCTGTGGCTCCCTTTGTTTGGTTAGATGTAGGAAGCATCCCCGGGAGATTCAGTGACAATGGTTTCCTCATGACTGAAAAGACACAGACTATATTATTTTACCCTTGGAAACCCACCGGCAAGAGTGAATTGGAGCAGTCTTTTCACGTGACTTCCCTGACTGATACCTACTGAGGAGTTACAGGTTGTCTTTTCAGCGGACACTGGAATAAAGCATTTCAAAGGCACCGACTGAAGCTGAAGACAACCAGAGATGAGTTGAAGAGGCAGAGAAATGTGTCTGCTTACTGCCACACATCTGATTCATCACTCTGTGCAGAGTTTGTACAGAGCATTCTTTCGGGAAAGGTTGTTTACTCAGGTGTTGTCCTCCAGCAAGGCTGTGCATCAGTATTCCTCTGTGCTCAGACTGTAGTTTGAGCCCTGCCCCCACAGCTTTAGCACTCCATGACCCAGTTATAACCCAGCCGCCTCCTCCTACCCAGGAAAGGAAGTCTACACATAAAGTCCTCTCAGGGAATCACAGGATCATGATGACCATTGCGGTATCTGTGGAGCCAAATGTGGAAGGTTGTGAGGTCACGTAGGCCTCTCCTAGTTAGCTTTGAGAAATAATGAATAATCACAATGAAGCTGCTTTGTTATTATTCCCTGAGGAAATGGAGGTTCAACTGTCACAACAGAAAGAGATTTCTGGGTAGTAGTTACACTGGTTGTTGTTGCTGGAAAGTTTGGGGTGGTGTTGACTGTTGCCATTCGATTACTTTTTTGGGTAGGGTTCTTTTTCCCTTTGTGAGTTTTGTTATAAAATACTGTTTTGACAATAACAGCTTCTTTTTTCAAAGGCCATTTAGAGTGATTCTCCTTTGAAAAATAAGCTCACATTGAAATGGACATCACTGTGGTCACTCTGGAAACTTCTGCGTGTCATATGCAGTCACCTGTAATTATGTCTGGGTTGTAGGTGTGGCTAAATCCAATGAACTTTCCAATTCAAAGGCTGTGAGTTAGATTTATATTTGTTGACCTTGCCAGCAAACTGGTGTTTCTTTTAGCTTGGGTTTCAATCATTTTTATTAATATTGATTAATTATAAACTGCTGTAAAATTGTTTTATTATGCATGATCATGTTTATAAATTATATTGATAAAGACGCAAATGGGTCAAAATGTTAATAGGTGAAGGTGTGTAGAAATTCTTTTGTACTGCTTTCGCAACCTTTCCACAAGTTTGAAACTACATCAAAAAATAGATGTTACATAAATTGCATTGACAACATGATATTTCATCTGTGGTTTATTTAATCATTCCATAAACATTCAGTTGTGCCCAGTATAGTGGTGGGCATGAATTTCCCTTTACGTCCTGCCAACTTCTTATTCTACTTGATAAACTGGGAGAGTTTGAAGAATCTAGATTGAGATATTTGAAGGGTTTTCTCTGGGAAGAATCATGTAATCGGTTATGGAATGGACTGGCAATGAGAGTTTGGCTAAAAGTCAAGACTAATTAGGTGCACCCGGGTGGCTCGGTCGCTTTTGCCGCCAACTTCCACTCAGGTCATGATATCACTGCTCTGGCACATTAGTTCGAGCGCTGCATTGGGCTCTGTGCTGACAGCTCAGAGCCTGGAACCTGCTTCAGAATCTGTCTCCCTCTTTCTCTGCCCCTCCTCCACTGGCACGTGTTCTCTTTCTCAAAAATAAACATTAAAAATTTTAAATTGAAAAAATAAAAATAATAACATCAAGACTACTTAGATAATAGATTTGGCTTTAAGATGTGAGAAGATTTGGGCCACTGAAGTTCAGTGACTAAGAGGAAAATAATTGCAGGCAATCCGGACTTCTCTTTCAATATCTAGGAATCTCCTCATTTTATGTATTGAGTTATATATATATATATATAGTCTTATGAAGGCTTGGGATCTGGGGATGCAACTCAGAAGCTTCTTACTTGGTTAAATAATTTTCTATTAAATAGAATAATATAAATTTTTCTATTTAAAAATTAAATAATTTTCTTGTCACTGTTGAAATCCTGTTTTATCTAACTGTTGCTGGAGGACAGGGACACTCCTCCCCATAAAACTGAAGAATTTGCTAGGCTGGGTGCTCTGTGGGGTGGGCTTTGAAATGCAGGAGCCATAATTCAGATCATAATTCTGCCCTTACTAGCTCAATCTAGTTACTCAATTCTGTGTTCAGTTTTCCATGCGCTGAGATGGGAATAATTATGTTTACCCTGTAAGTTTGTTTTGAAGAATACATGTTAAATTTAGCTGAAGGGCATGGACCAGTGGCGGTGCATAATGAGGGCTCTGTAAATGTAAGCACCATCCTGGAAGGTGAGAGAAGCCAGGGCTTCGATCTACACTGACAGGGGCTGCAATCCGGGTTCTGAGGCTTAGTGGTTGTGTAACCGACCTGCTCTTTAGCTCATCTGTGAAATGCGTATAATAATCTCTAGCCTTCAAAGGTAGTTGTGTGGACTAAATGACTATTTATTTGGAGCAAAATAAATGCTCAATAAATGGTGGCTGTACTTGACTTTCTTTAGCATCGTAATCATTTTTACCCAATTAACACATGAGGCAAGAGTAAAACTGAAAGAAATAAAGGCAAATGTCTTCCAGATATATTTTTAAGAGGGGAAAAAGATATCAGAAAACAGTGAATTTATAAGGGAAGAATAAATGAATGAAGAGACATAACTATATGCTGACAACAACTGATAAAAGGAGAGAAATACGCTATATACACATAAATTCTGTAGGAGAATGATAACATCAGAAACGTTCTTCCACAGCTCACGTGTGGCTCTGTGGTTAGTCATTTGTGCCATTTTAATAGAGTTTATTTTGCCACATTTACTGGATTAGAGTTTGATGTACTCGCTCTTGGCTTTGGATTTCCGAGAAGAGTTTTCTGTTCGTAGCTTTGCAAACATTAGTAGGATGGAAAGAGCAGGATCCGGTCCTTCTGCCACACTGGATGCAAAGCACATTCCACAGAGTGTGAGATGAAGAGAGGTCAGTTCACAGGATTCCATCTTCTCATTTGAGAACGGAGAGGCCAATAAAAATGGTAATTTCCTCATTCACATTCACTGTAACTCTTCTTTATTTATTTATTTTTTCTTACTTGTCTTTTCATTGTAAGGGGTTTTCAAACCATGAGAAGTCACTTGGAAAATAAATAGGAAGATTGTTTTCTCTGTTGGAATGAAAGTGAACTGGAGCGCAGGAGAAATAAAACTGTGTTTCCCACGCATTCCCAAAGTGACAGAGACCTCAACAGAAAGGGTAGTCGCGGGCTCCCAGACATGAAACTTACTCCCCAACTTGGTAAGATTTAGGGACAAAAACAAGTAGATATTATTTGTGCATGAAATCCAAAGCATTTCAAAATATGCCCAGAGTCTACTTGGACGGTGATTGTAATCTTAATCAATTCAATAAGCGCGTAAAATCTGAAGGGCTGTGCAGAAAACAGATTTAATAATGTTCTCAAGCGAATGGGGGAAATTCTTGTTTTCTAATTGACTTATCAGAGGGCATGGACCTGTGTGATACTGTACAAACCCCTAAAACTCACAGACAGATCCAACATTACGACATATCTATGTTCTGACTCTAAGGACTGTGTGACTTAAGAATTAATTCGTATATTTAGCAAGCATTTATGGAGGGGCACTCTGAGCTTCAGGCACTGTCCTTGTCCCTGGGGGAATTGCAGGTAAAAAAAGGCAGACCAGTTTCTTCTTTGCATGGGCTGTCCATTGTACAGGTGTTTTCAAAAACCAACCTCTGTGCTTCAGAGCCCAAATATAATGCAAACGCAGTGTTTGGGATAAAGAACAATAACTGGGCAAGGAGTCTGCAGCAGGCTCTGGCCTTCAACACTGCAAGCCCCCCACCCCTAGGAAGGGGGTGGGGGGCGGGTTTATAGGGAAATACAAGATCTAGCCGGTTTCGACAGGAATTCTGTATGCTGCCAGCGTTCTTAGTCCAGTTAGTCGTTTTTGGGGTGGCGCTGGCTTCCTAAAGCAAAAGGTTAAGAGGGAGGAGGTGAGCTTTACGGAAGAGAAGAAAAAGGTTATTTTATTATTTTTTTCAGTGTATTAGGACCTATTTATTTATTTATTATTTAAATCAAAGTTAGTTAACCTATATTAAGGGCACCTGGGTGGCTCAGTCAGTTGAGCATCTGACTTTGGCTCACGTCATGATCTCAAGTTCGTGAGTTCGAGCCCCACATCAGGCTCTGTGCTGACAGATTCTGTCTCCCTCTCTCTGTGCCTCTCCCACTCATACTCTGTCTCACTCTCTCTCAAAAATGAATAAACATTAAAACAAATTTAAAAAACCCCCACAGTTAACATATAGTGTAATTATGATTTCAGGAGTGAAATTTAGTGATTCATCACTTACATAAAATCAAGCTCTGCTGAAGCATCAGTGCAGCCATTTTGATTTTTGTTCAACTGTATGCTTTTAAGTGGTTTCAGGGGGAGACAGACAATAAGCAGGTAGATGAGGCTATTTCAGCTGGGGACAAGTCCTGTAAAGTTACTGCGGCAGTGATGGGGAGCACTGTTATGTAAGGTCATCTTGCTCAATACTTTCAGAAGACATTTTTGAAAGTTTATGATAAAAAACACATAAAAAAAGTTTTTCAACAGAGTAAAGAGTCTTAAAAGACCTTACTGTAAAGGCGCCTGGGTGGCTCAGTTGGTTAAGCGTCCGACTCTTGACTTAGGCTCAAGTGATGATCTCATGGTTCGTGGATTCGAGGCCCATATCAGGTTCTGTGCTGACAGCGAGGAGCCTGCTTGGGATTCTCTCTCTCCCTCTCTCACAGCCCCCCCCCCCCATAAATAAATAAACTCAAAAAAAAGAGAGAGAAGCCAGAAGTTAAAAAAAAGAAAAAGACCTTCACTGTAATTAATACATAAGGAGGGAAAAGCACGAGACCAGGGAGTTAGCTAGGCTGGGCTCTGAGCTTGTGACTATTAAGCTGAGGCTGAGGCTAACCTGCCAAGATATCTCTGAGCCCGTGAATAGTGGATGGGCTTTGCAGAAATAAGGGTATTGCATCACTGTGTCAGTTTTTATCACTGTCTCTCCTTCTATCTGTAGACATGGGTTACTGAATCCTGCCAGGAAGGAAAAGTTTGCAACAATAATGCAGCTTAATCCCTTCGGTCGGATTCCAGCCTTTACACAGGATTTATTGAGCAACACCTTTATGCTTTAAGCACATTATGCTATGAGCACAGTACAAAGTACAGAGCTGTACAAAGGATGACAGTAACACCTAAGTGACCCAGAATTCCTGGGAAATGGGACGGCAGGACCATGGAAATTTCTGGTTAGGAACTAGTACTCATTCCTGGCTCATCATCCGTGTGAGAACAACCCTCTTGTTCTTATTCTGTTATTGTTACTTATTAAGGCTTTTGTAAAATTTACTGGATCTTGGGAGACAATTCACATATTTCTAATAGGTGGGGCAGACGTTATTGATGGGCCACCCTACAGCTGGCTTCCCCTCTTCTCTGCTAATAGAGGTGACTTTGTGTCCAGCCCCAGGGACTGAATTGCAATTTGTTACACTAATTCAATTCTCCTTTGCCAGTGATTGGTCTAGGGTGAGGCCTGTGGCCCAGTTCTGGCAAATGAAACACAAGGTGACACTTAATGTAGGGTTTGCAGGGGCAGTGGAGCGGGGGAGGGATAGGTTTTCCTGCCAGACAAGAAACAGACCTGAGGACCTGAGGAGGGACTCTGCTGTTGGGTGAAGTTGAGAAGCTGCTATGTGAGGACACGATACTTGGAGCTGCTGCAGCCTTTTCGAGCTTGAGGAAACAATACTGACATGGGGGATGGGGGGGGGCGTCAGATGTTGAACTGTTGAGTTAACCCTGCAATCTAACTCCGGTCTTACGAAAAATAAGGCAGTATTTGTTTAATCCAGTTGTAGTCAGGTATTCTGATTTTATAACCAAAAGCATCCTGATTGATATAGCGGTTAAGGGCAAGGGCTTTGAAATCAGATATACTTATGTTTGAGTTCCAGATCTCCCACTAATAGGCTGTTCGACATTTTATATAAGTTCCTGAGTCTTTCTGTGCCTTAGTGTCTTTAAAATGAGAGTAATAAAATAATAATAATAGGGAAAGCTTAATTAGATGATACATACATATGGATAGCACACACTAACTATTCAACAAATGTTAGCTATCAGGATTACCCTTTCCTCTGTGTTAAATCATCAAA